TGTGTCCTTCTAATGGCTCCAGAAGTCCTGAGAGTCTAAATAAATTTATTAACGTATAAATTTATGAATAGACTAAAGCCAAGTCATATTGATGTTCAGTCTGGTTTCCACATGACATCAGATACTTTCCCACAGTCTCTGAACAGTACATCTTTAAGGATTCTGTAGAAAGCACAATCTCTTTAAATGTTCTCTACAAGAGAAATGTGACTATTATATTCCTGACAGTGTTTTCTTTATAATATATAATATAATAATATGATACATAATGTAATGCATACGTGTATGTATTATTGATTTAAATAAATTGGCTACAGGAGAGCAAAAGTTTGATATTCCATTTTTCTATAGTGTTGACAAATTTTAAGAGAATCTTATACTAATTTCCCCATTTTTCACATATAAAAAAGATTTCTGAAGTACACAATTTTCTATACCAAAATGTCAATTTTTTTGAAGCTTTAATAATTAAACACATAGAAAGTAGTTGTTTACATTACAACTACTGTCACAAACCTTGTATTTTAAGAACATAACAGCGTATTAAGATCAGCCTGGTACTAATGAGGTGATTGGAAATAAAATGGAACAGAAAAAATAAAAGCACATGCATAAGAGCATTAAAGGAAGAGGAAGCACATGTCGGATGTGAGAAACACTAATAGAATAACAAGTTGTTACCAGTAAAAAGGAATGCATGAGTCAATAATCACTACTGATTATAAAATGCCTTTTTTCAATGCTTCAACTATGGCCTTCTGTGCTCACAATAGCCTCTTACCCAGTCCACAGTGTGAGAGGTTTTACTGATCCACAATTATCACCAGGACCTAAACTGTAGGCAGCTATGGCCTGACCAGGAAGTTTCGCTGGTTCTTTCCCCCTAAACCAAGGATGTTTCCAGAGCAGGCTTTGCATGCCAAAATGACTACATCACAAGACCAAGGCTAGTGAATTTGTTTCAGATTGCAGAAATTTTATCTTTTGAGACCTTGTCCACCACCATCTCATTTTCCTTGAGATTTAAGAGCTAAGATTTCTGATTTCTCCTTTTGTTTATTTGGGTTTGTTTGGAAAACACTAAAACATTTGGATAGCTCCAATGTAGAGTTCCTTTAGTTCCTTCCAAAACTCATCCACCTTAACTCAAAACTATTCATCTCTCCTAGGTGGCCTTAGATCAATGTATACGAAAACATTTGAAGTCACTAGAAGTCAAGTGAATGTTAGATGAGTTTCATAAGGGCAGCAATGTTTGTCACCTTTGATTACAAATATTTCCCAAATGCCAGGAATACTGTATGTGTCCAAAGAATAATGTCCAGATTTGCATAGCTCCTAAAAGAATGAGGTTAGTATTTGAAGTTGATGGGCTAATCTCACTGCCGAAGTGTTTCTCTCTTAGTTGGGGGCGGGAGCTGGGAATTCCTAGCATCTCCAGATGTTTCTGAAATATATTTTTCTTTTGAAAGTATTCGTAGTCTCTGGCACTTGTTAATTAAATAATTAAACACTCATCTTAAAATCAGTATTATTGTTAAATCAATGACTATGGAATGCACCACCTCCATAATTTGGTGATTGACCAAACCACAACCTTCCAAATATCCTTGACCTTGACAACAAAGGAAATGTGACTGAGTGATTCAGGTAGAATGGTTGGTCTTATAACATTTGTAGCTTGTTTCATCAGCTTTGAAACTCTGCTATGTCTCTGAACAGCAGAAACCAATTATTCTGAGAAACAGAAATTTTCAACTTAGTCTGTACAAGCTGAGTAAGAATTCCAGGATTCAGAACAATGTTCCCAACTTTCTAAGACACAAAATAGTTCTGAGAAACAGAACAAGAGTAGAGAAATATATACAATACTGACATTATTTCTTATTTACATTCTGGCAGTTCTACATTGATTCCTGTAAATCCCTCAGCCTCTTCACAGTTTCACAGCCAAAGTGAACCACAGTGAGTATTACTCCCAGAAAACTGCAAGTAAAAAAAAATCTTTTCTGAATTAGGCCGGCAAATTCTTTGCTCGGCTACTTTTTACCAAAACATCCACTCTATTGGTAACATTAGAATAAACTGGCCTTGAAACAGAAAAGTATCCCCAATTTAATAACTTAATATTTTACATCCAAAATGGTTGACGAATATTACTGAAATCTAAAAATCTAAAAAGAACATTTTATTCACAAGAAGTTAATAAATCAGTAAATGTACATTCAGTGCTCACACCTTGAGCATACTGACAAATATATGCTACAGCCTAAATACAGATGACTCCCCACTTTATATTAGTTACAATGCTTCATATATGAATTTAACTCATAAAATGGTGTTCTTGGGCATGTAAGACATGGTTTCTGATTTTCAGAAATCAATAGTTGTAACAATAGAAGGAAAAAAGAACAACTAGATATAAGGTCACATGAAAAGAAACATTTAAAAAGTGAAAATGCATTTAGCTATTTTTTCATTTTAACAATAACTTTAAATTTAACTGAGATTACTTGATTAAAATACGTATATATTTTTAATTCTGTATTCTTTGAAAGCAATAAAATTTGTTCTTTAAAAAGATACAAAGTCTTTCTTCAAACTTTATAACTGGTAATTCTACTTCCCCCTCTGCATTTTATTCACTAAGACTGACCCAAAAATGACCTTGCTGTTGTCAAATCTTTCCTTTTGCCATCATCCTATTGGTTACAAAGTAGGAGGGAAATAGAACGGGACTCAAGCTATTAATACCCCATAGTTAGTCTTCAGTTATTTTTCTTGGTCTTCTGTACAGCTGAGAGGCCAAGCAAGACCTACTGCCAACCAAGCCCCTTCAGGCACAGTAAAGGTAAAGTTTCTGGTCTGCCCTGTGTGATTCCTTCGCACTGTGATTAATTGGAATGTGTGTCACCAATGCTATTTTAGATTCACATTTTCTTCCTTTTACCTTATTGCTGATCTTGAATACAATACTTTAATATTTATTTCTAATCTAAACCTCAGATTTGGGATAGTGTTATGATCAAATTTACTTTTAACTCTAGTTTAAAGTTACAGTTTGATATTGGCTAAATTAGACATCATGAATACTAAATAAGAAAGTTCCTAACACAGTAATCATAACCATAGAGACAATTGTGGACAGTTAACTATTCAGAAAGTTGAACGTGTAGCAATAATCCAAATTGATCCACAAATTACCTTCAAATTTTATCTCCACTTAAAAGTTATAATTTTATTGTTTGGTATAATTATTGTTTTAAAGCATCCCTTTTATATGCTCATGAAAGTTACATTATTTTATAAATTATGTTATCTTCTTACCAAGTGATGAGGGCAAATGGTTTACTGGTTTAAGGAGCCAACATACAAAGTTTCATTTTATCCCTGATTTTTATTCATACTAAAAATGGAAGAACTACTATCATTTTATAGAATGTTTTCTTTTTGTTTGTCATATCCTTTTGTGTAAATTGAAAAGAAATCTATGATTCACCATGGAAAGATCATTTTTCAATCAGCGATCTTACAAGGTAACTCATATGGAGAACAAGTAAGGTGCACACGTTTGCTTAGATTGCTCTGATTTGATTCCACAAAAGCTCTTTTCTATTCAATGGCTGTTTTAGAGGTGGTTTTGAAGTCAGTTTAGTGCACAGATTTTCTTATCACTGAGGATTACCTGAGAAGAAGGAAATGCAGTCTGGTATGCATACTACCTTCTCCTTAACCCAGTGCTTTCATTCTGTGACTCTTGTAAATCTCTTCGCAGTGACTCAAGTGTAAACAAGTTTGGAAATATCTATAATTCCAGCAAAATGTAGCTGGTATTTACTTCACAGATACAACACGTATTTTAATATCAAAGTTTGAGGTGTCTCATTATAGTACAAAATGATATTTTATCAAAATCAAACAGGCAGATGTGGTACCACATTCTCTTGTCAAAAAATAAAATTAATTTATTTAATACTTTAATCAAAGACATCAAAATTATCACATCTGTCCTTTTATGAAGTTAATCATATCACTTGTGATTACTGGAGAAGCAGATTTAGATTACAACAAATGCAGCTTTACAACCCTCCACTCCCTGCTCCATTTTACATAGTTAGATATACGATGGATCGGGTCATAGAATTTGAGAAATCTCTTAGTTCAAACTTTTGTGTTCCAGGTAAGAAATGTAAGGCCCAGGAAAGGGAGATCAATTGCTCATGGTTCGACAGGGCTAGAACTCAGTCTCTGCTCCACATAGACATGTTATCTGTTATTTCAATGTCGTGACTCACTCTTTACATAGCATTTAAACTCCCACTTTTTTTGCTCTAAATTTTTTCCAATTTTATCTTTCCCTCTCATACAACACTTCAATCAAAATGCCCATTGATATTCCAGAACTTCCTTTGCTTGAAATGTTTGTTTACTCATTGAACTCTTCATTAGGAAGCCTCACCTAAATGTCCTCTTCTACACAAAGATTTTGCTGATTCTCTTAACTGAAATTTTCTATTGGTAAAAAAACCACCTTTCTAGCATTTTCCACTTAGTTTCCTCTCAGAGTGGTTTGTGTATGTTGCCACTCTCATCCCTAAAATCAATCCTATTTGTTGGTAAGACCTGTATCAGATTCATCTCAACATCTCAACATCTGGCCTAGAACTAAATTACTAGGAGATTCTTGGTGTAAAATTAGATGAGCAGATGATTAAATCTGTCATGATACTTTTGGCAATATTATCAAAAATTAAATTTAAAAAATTTTTCTCCAGTTCCGCCGCCTGCCTCACAAGCACAAGGTCCCGAGTTCAATCCCTGGTACCAAAAAAAAAAGCTTTGTCTCCAAATTTGATGTTTCTAATACTTTTAGTTAATAATTTTTATGTTAGCTATATCTGCCTTTAAATTTGGCTTTTTTCTTAAACATTATATCCAAATCACTGTAGAATTATCAGTGATAGATTGTTATAATTCAACTTTTTTGATTTTTTAGGTGCAACGATGAAACGTTTTCTTCTAGTTGTGAATATCCTGGCATTAGCTGTGCCTTTTTTGGTGAGTTCAGTTCACTTAATCAGTTAGTAGTAAAACTCTAAGAAAATTTCATTTAAGGGCTGGCTCTATTCAAATTTATAGATGTAGTTATACTTCATGGAAGAAATTAATTGTGTCATAGTTACTTTGTACTTATTCCTATTATAAAATTAAAGTAACATTCTTCTGGATATTCATAAAGTTACCATGAACAACTATGTCATGTGTAGAGTCCTCCAAATTCCTATGCTATAGAAAACCATACGTGCTGAGGGAAAATACTGAATATATTTTTTAATTACAAATGTTCTAGTGATAATTCATAATGAATAAAGAAATCACAGTCCAGGAACAAAAATTCTTTCAATTAAATGTTCATCTCTTCCGGACTGCTCTCTCTTTAGGGAGTTAATCCTTAAAAGATCTGGGGCTGGTTAAGCTTTGGACCACTTTCAGAGACCCTGACACTTCTGCCCAGCCTCACAGCCCACTCATCAGTTTCTCTTAGGCTGTGTGCTCCCCTTTAATCTCCTGCCCACTCCTTCCCAGGGTTCTGGGTTCAAACACAGCTCCAAAGCTGGTACTGTGTTTAAAGTTGGGCCCAGAAAAGGTTCTGTTTCTTCTCTTTTAATTTCTTTATGTGTTTTTATTGTATTTTTAGCTATTACTGGATTTTATTTCTTTCAGGAAATCTAAGCACTGTATTTGACAAGAGCACAGATAATAATAGTTTATGCCCTCCTGTGAAGATTATAAAATCTGGAGCACAATAGTTCTCACTATATTTACTATTAAGTTTAGATATGCTTTTAAGTTAACATCTATTACATATATCTGTCCAAGGTAAATTATTGGATTCAAAATTACTTTAAAATTTTGTATTGCTAAGACATTTGACTTTCTTTTCTTTCACTTTTTCTTTCAAATTACATTTTATTGTGGCTGCCTGAACTTTAGGAACTTGGGTTTCCTTGTGAAGTAACAGGAGTTGAAGTTTGAATCATAAAATGAGCCACAAGTCCCTGCTCTGCAGCTTTTCCCTGAACTGTCTGAACTACTCCATCTCCAAACTTTTCTTCACATTTTCACTAACGTTTCAGGCCCAAGGGACATAAATGAAAACTTCAAAAAAAAATTAAAGCTTATAGATTTTATTATTCACTATTACCAGAGGTCACAATTACACAAATTAAAATAACCATGTGACACCATCTTTTATGTGCTAATTTATCTCTGCCAAAAATTAAAATACTGAATATGATATTTAACAAAAAAGTAACTTCCTACTTCTTTTTAACTTCTTACTTCTTCTTACTTCTTTTTTCGGTGACTTCTCAGGCTGCAGAGGTGCCAAACCAGGAACAATCAGCAGTAAGTTTCATTATTTCTGTTAGAGATGTGGACTCAAAAGTGTATTTTGCAAAGACCTCCAGATACCTTCTGTCTATAAACTAAATAAATATTTCATCCTCACAAAATAATTAATCTTAAAAAAAACCAAGAAATGAAAAATCTACTACTTTAACGATATATGCATTTACCTTGATGTTCATCTGAAAGTCTTGGCTTTATTGTATAGCCCATCATGTATCTTTGGTTTTAATGTATATTTAGCAACATGAGAAAATTCTTTCAATATATAATATTGGGAGAACCTAGAAACACAAGTAAAGGTTAATATTTCTCCTGTGCACTTTTAAGACTTGGAAGTAAATCCCTCTTTGACCTATCTTTGAATACTTCTCATATGTGTGTATGTATGTGTATGTGTGTTTATGACTTCCTTTAGTTTCTCAAATATATGTGAATGAATTCTTTACATCTGTTTTCTTTTATGAGAAATGTGTGTTCTGCAGTATAATTTTCTTCATTCATTTCTGATCATATGTGAAGGCCTGCTGACACATTTTTCTGAGTGCATATAATTGATAGCACAGAGACAAATAAAAATAGAAAATACCCCTTCTGTTCTTTTGTGAAAAAAATTAAACTAAAGAAATCAATAAATCCTCCTACATTTTATTATTCTGTTATTATTAGTTTAGGGAAAATAAAACTTGGGCTAGTCTCTAGATAAACCAAATTTGAGGGCAGTTACAAGCATACGGTAAGAATATGTACATATGTGTATCTGTGTGCTTGTGGATAGTATGTCAGTTTTTATGAGATTTTTCTGTGTTTTCCATTTTCTATATACTTATAATATTCTGCATTTACAGAGCACTTTTCATATATGCTATTACATCTGGGTAATGTGGTTTATGTGATAAATTACCTCATCTAACTTATTTGAAACAAATATTACTTTTATATTATTGAAAGTAATATCAAAAATCATGAATTGCACACATCTATATCTTATAAAACAATAATGACTGCTGGACTTCATCCTACCAGTACTGCATTTAGTCAAACATCAAATATGTTATTTCAAAAAATGTTGATTTACAGTATCTGTACATTTTGCTCTACAGTAACATCTTTCTGCATGGTTCATTCTTTTTTCCAGTGCTGTGAAAATGATGAAAGACTGTTTAATCAAAAAAAAGTCCTATATATTCTAAGTCATCCTGTGCTGAACAACTATCTTCATAATGCACGAAATTACTACCAAAATAGAGCAGTTGTACCAATTAACAATCCATATAAATGTGACCCATATTATGCACAATCATTTGTATTTAGACCACAAGCCCCAATTCCCCAGTGGTCAGTCCTGACAAATGCCCACCAGTTTACTATGCTACATCGCCCCACCAAATATCCATCATTCATGGTCATTCCTGCAAGGAAAATTCCAGAAGAAGCCGCTATACCTACTACTGACACCATGGCTACTCTGGAGCCTACCCCAGTTCCTGTCGCAGAGCCTGCAACAAACACTGCAGACTTCTCAGGAGCATCCGCAAAGTTTGTCCACACCCCTGAGACGTCTACGGTCCCAGCTACTTCACCCATGGCATAAAAACAGTAAGGAAACATCAAAAGAGACAACACAGGTAAGTGAGTAAAAATTTAGTGAAATCCAGAAAACAAAAATGGGTTTATCGGTACAATCGTAAATCTATAATACTACAAATAGACTGGGTCGTGGAAGCAGATAAAATAGGCTAATTATAATTTTAATTTAGAAGACCCATGGCACTGATAAATTATGTTTTTGCAAGAAAGGAAAATAATTTTATTTTACAAAAATGAAAAAAATTTTGACAATTGGAATATTCCTAGAATCCATTTTACCCCATTCATATACAAACAATAATGAAAGAGTAAAATACTGTGTAATAGTATCATGATTTTTATCCAAAAAACAAATTTTCTTAGATTAAATTACACAGAATATATGAGTTTAAATAGGTTTTAATCTTATGACAATGCTCAAGAACTGTAATTCTGGTATAAACAGGGTGAAAAAAATTATGTACTTCCTGTGCATTTCTTTATTTCAGACATAATTCCCAGGAAGACCCATGAAGTTAGGAATCAAAATTTTCCCTAAGATAAACCTCTGGAGGAAATATAATGCTTAGTTTGAAAGATGCTAAACGTTATTTCCAAAATATTAAATGTAATGTAAAATGTTATTGTTTATTATTTTGACCAAAGATAATAGCAGGATATAAAATAATTTGAAATTTCTAGGAAGCTAAATAAAAGATTAATAAAATAGAAATTTTCACAAGAACTGTGAAATAATTTTGAAAGTTACACAATTTTGAGTTTCTTTAGTTCATCAAGCTATCTATGTATTTTATGAAGCAAAGCCCCACACAATGGTCTGAGGCAAGCTCTGACAGGACTGGCATGGCCCAGAAAGGCTCCTGCCCCATCTCCTCACATGCTTAGCTTCCTTAGCTGGTCATTGAGCTCGCTCTCTCTCTCTCTCTCTCTCTCTCTCTCTCTCTCTCTCTCTCTGTCGCTCTCTGAACTTCCATTTTTTCATAGTATGGGTTGCATAAGGTTCAAAGGAGAATATCTGGAACAAACTTTTGGAACAATTTTTAAAAGAGATGGACTATATGGAACAATTTTAAAAACATGTCAATTTGTGAAACACACCAGAAAAGTGAAGTAAAATATATACTAAAATTTATTTTTAACAAATACTCTGTCTTTACTTAATAATAAGAGCTTTTCATGACTATATTAATTCCTACCACAACCAAATGAAGCATATGTTATTATTCTCCCAAATTTAGAAATGGAAAAAAGAAACTAGGCCTATGGATGTTAAGTAATTACCACAGGTAGAAAATACAAAATGAGAGTCACACGAAACTTGTTTAACTTCAAACAGTGGGGCTTAATTACTATGGTATGCATTTCTATATATGATTTCCTACATATGATTGTGTTTAGTTGTTATTCAATAGCATATGTGAAGAAAAGGATAATAAACTAGACAAATATTTGACTTATACAATATTGGAAAATAACATAAAATGAATGAAATCAACATGATAACAAGTGATTTAATATGTAGTTATGTACTTTATTTCTCCAAAAGTATTAATACCTACTGTGCTTCTAATGGAGTGATCATTATTCAGCAATTATGTTTATTCAAACCTCATGAATCTAATGTCCTGAATTAAAACCACTGTCTATTGCTGATAAAGAAGCATTTAAAGGAGTGTCTTTTTAAAAATATTAGGTGAAGTCTATTATTTTCAGTTCACTATATGTCCATTTTAAATATTTAAATTGAAACATTAAATTTGGCAAATTCGTTGGTTGGAGACATAAGAGAAAAATCATGGAAATGAAATAAATAGTTATGTGTGAGAACCATTAGCACACTATAAACAAATTTCTAAACTGTCATTATTTTTTATAGGTTTTGATGAAACCAGATGACTATTTCAAACTTTTCTTCAGTCATTTTTCATCTTCATTCATAAGAAAATGTGATTTTTCACTGATTCAGCTCCTTTCTCTTCTCCCCATACATATTATACTCACGTCATTTAATTTTTGTGATTCTTGTGCAATAAAGTCCACTGAATGTGACTGAATGTCCCAACTTGAAAGGGTCTGTGGAGATGCCTTAAGGCTCTTGGAAGCCTTTGCTTGCCAAGGTAAACAGTATGAATTTGAGTACAGTTTGCCTTTAGGCAGGGATCACAATTTCACTGAGTCTTCAAAGGGGTCCACAATCTAACAGTGCTCAAGAGCTGTTTTTCTCTAGGCTAACACTGAAACATTTAAACTTACTAAGTTGCGGGGACCAGAAAAGAACTAAGCCATGGCCTCCCAACCCAGAGGTAGGACCAAAGAGAGGCTCCTGGGACCATTAAATTCCAGTGTTCAAAACGTGTCCAGAGCATTCCCAAGAGCAATTTCTGGGCAGAGGCAAGCTACAGATGACCACAGCTACAGACACAGATATGTCATGGTATGATGGGAATGGATGGAGATCCCACGTGTGCATGACCAGCTTTCTCCAGACTGGAAGCCACAGTCTCACACACAATGTGTCTATGCACAATTTGTGTCCAAATACACACACACACACACACACACACACACACACACCAAAGCTTCTAGGTCTCAGAAAATAAAATAAAAATAATTAATTTTCAAAGTCTAAGGACATGGCGTAGTTTTTCCCTTAAACATTGCAAGGAAAATTAGTAGGTCACTTTTGTGCTTGGTCCACAATTAGCATGTTCTCTCAAGAAAAATAAAAATCACTAGTACAACTAGTACACTGGTAAATAAAAACAAAGTACTTTCTGGTCACTCACCTAATCTGTGCAAAAACCTTCCACAGACATGCTATAGTTACAAGTGATTTACAGAGAGAGAGAGACAGAGAGAGACTGGATGGATTGGGATGACCCTCTGTCCCTCAGTACCAGCCATCAGCACCACTACCTGGCCATCTCTTCTTGGGACACAGGTCTGATGGGCAATGGGCTGCACTCACACTGTTTCTGCAGGGTCAGAGTCAATACAATGCAGGCGCTGAATAAACAGGCGATAAATAAGTGGGTAAGTAAATGGGGGGGAAAAAAGGAAGTTAAGGTATGAAGTATTAGATTAAATAGCATACATTTTTCTTACCAAAATCCATAAAGAAAAGCAATGTGGACCTTAACAGTATATTAGTGAGGATGAACGAAAGCTACTAAAACCAAAGATACATTGTAAGCCAATTCCATACTTAAAAAAAACACTGTGGATCATACTACCAATCCCAAAAACATTCAAGTCCAGACAAATAAATTTTTATAATAATCTTATTTTTCAAGAAAAGAAAGCTGAATGTCAACAGAACAATAACCAAAATGTGATATCAGAAATACATATTGTCTTAACACTGGAGCACTAGTTAAAACACAGAGATGGTGAGGTACAGTCCTCCTAATCCTCCCATGCAATATAGCACAGTAGTTGCCAGATTATGTAATAGTGCAATAAAGATTACAAAACTAATAGTAAAGGATGATGACCAAAATGCATTTACAAGATTAAGTGTATTCATTATATATATTTTTTTTTTATTGGAATGTACTAAGAAGTCCCAGAAAATCTTGAAGGCAAGACAAAACTCTCAAATACTCCTAGAAAAATAAATGTTTTATTGTGCTAACATAATTATTTCCCATATTAAAAATCATTAATTTTTTTATCACAAAATATCTATAACTATTATTGGGATGGGAAGACAAGCACATTAGAAAATAAAACTGTGATACACCTCATGCCAATTATATA